ATGTGATGCATGGACAAACAGACGTGCCAAGCATATGAAAAATGAGAGTTTCAACTTTCAGAAAACTTTTCCTTCTTCAAGACCACTTATAACATGGAGACAGATGCACACTTAGAAACTTGTAAAATGTATGAATAGAGAATAACATATAAACCTATATGGGGTATTTTTTTAAATTTAGGCTACACTGCGCTGCTACATAGTTAAAGATGTTAATTTCTGTCCTTTTTAACAGTAAATGTTGATTGTATTTCTCAAAAGAACTGGCAACTTGAAAAAGCATTTTTCATGCTTATAAATGCACCCCGAGCTTGCCGTTCTTGAAGCTTTAAGGAGGTTTCTGTTAAAGCAGCCAGCTGCCTCTTTGTGTGCGCTGGCTGCTTAAAGCTGCAGCTCTGAAGTGGGAGCCTCAGTTTGACATTCTGTAGGCCCTCCGCAAAGAAGTTCCATTCAACTATGGGGAGCTCTCCACCACATCCTGGAGCCAGCAGGGGTGACAGATAGAAATGAATGACAAGGACAGACAAGGAGGGGAAGGAGAAGGAGAAGGGATTCAAACAATCCTCATCCACGGTGGATACATTTTAGAGAAAATAACAGGAGGCATTTTTACCTGTGTTGCCACCTCCTAAGAAAATGTCCTTTGTATCTCTATTTCTATTACTGTAGGAATACATAGGTAATAAATAAAGCTCTGTCAAATGAATATCATCTCACCTCTATTTTAATATCTGTGTTCTTTCAGCTCAGTGTATGGTGGTTTTTCTGTCAAATTCTAAATTATAGGAATAAATAAATGACATTTGACATATGGTGTGAGTGTGTTAGCTAGATGAACGAGTTAATAAATTAGAGTTCAAGTTGGGGTGTACAGATCAGTCCCATTACTGCTGCTCCGGTGAGGTAATGTTAGGGGCCTTGGGTGAGGGTGCTGGGGGCCTCATTCTTTCTGAGGGGTGACAGAGTGGGACAAATACTGGTTTGGGGGGCTAAACTCAGATTAGCTGAGTTCCTTCCTCTCAAAGCCAGTAGGAGGGAGTTCTCACCATTTCTTCAGGCTAGTGCAAGTCAGGAATCCAACTGAGTAGAGGGAGTTCTTCCTAGGGAAAGGGAATAGACTGGCACTCTTGCCAAGATCTCCTCTCAGGAGCCCCAAGCCAGTACTTGAGGAGGGGACCCAGGGACCCCGCAGTGTGCTCCCGAGGCTGCGAGGCCCGCAGGAACCCTCTGCTCATCCATTGTCCCAGAGAGTGATCTCGGGGAGATGTTCGGGAGTGAGGGAGACACGGAGACACCTTGTCAGTTCAAAGCATTTTAGGCTTGTTTGAAATCCTCTCCACGTCAACCTAAGCAGCCTCTGTATATGAACAGCGGCTTTGAACAGTGAAAGGGAATGAGCTAAATCAAAACCTGGAGGTGTCTCTCTGAGACACCTTCAACGTTCTTTTATGCGTTGGGAGGGGGGCGGGGGGGGAGGCAGGCGGACAAGCGGATTCTGCCCTGGGGGGGTCAGAGGCAAAGAAAGGCGCTGGCGCTGGGGGCGGAGGGAGAGTAACGGACCAAGAAGCCCCTTTCTGGAGGTAAAGCCTCCGAGTGCCCAGGTTTCCGGAGCCCCAGGGAGACACCGAGGCGAGGCGGGCGGACTGGGAGCCGAAGCTACTCAGTACCCGCCATTCGCGCCAACCGGGCCTCCGGCAACTGGCCGGGAGGCTGGGGCGGTTTGGGGGGAGGTGGTACCCAGAGCCTCAGAGCGCGCCTCCGGGCGATTGGCCCGGCTCCGGGAGTGGGGGTAGGAGGGGGGGAAATAAGGAGTCTGAGTCGGGGGTAGAGCTTCTTTGTGTACTCCCTAGGATTTATTGGGTGTGTTAATCTCATAGAACTACCAGAGCTGACCCGGTTGGGAACGTTCGGCTCTGTCGCCTGCAAGTAAAAAAAGAGGCGGGGGTGGGGGTGGAGTGGAGACTCGAGACGTCAAACAGGATGAATCGTGGAACAGTCATCTCCAGTGAAGTCCCTAGGAAGGCAGACAGAAAGTTTTCCTGTACACGTGCAGCCTATTTTGCCCACCTCCACGGACACTCATCAGCGCCCTAAGCCGGAGTGGGGGCGGGGGTGGGAGTAGTAGGAGAGAAGGGGGGGGGGCTTTCAAACGGGCTCCAAGACCTGCTGTCTCGGTTCCCGCAGAGATGCGCCTGGAAACCTTTTTTTCTTCGCTCAAGTGCATCACCCCAAAGGAGTGATGCAAAGGGGCTCGTCCCTAGAGAAATGGGAAATCAAATCTGGAGAGAAGCAGACACCTGCCCCGGAAGGGGGAGGAGAGGGGAGCTGCTTCATGTCCGGACGCGGCCCTTCCCAGAGGCTGGATTCTTCAATCTGTGAGAGCTCTAAATCTCCCAGCCGAGAGGGAGGGGGGAGGAAGAGAGGCGTGGTGGGGGCTGGAGGAGGGGGGGGTGAGAAGGTCGCCGAAGGCCACGACCTGACGCGGCTGGCAAGCGGCCAGTGCGCTCCCAAAGCCCCAGGGGAGCCGTGCGCCCACAGTTGGGGCGGCCAGGCAGCTGCCAGGTCTCTTTGCTCCTCCTCATGGAGGAGCTGCCGCGCTTCAAGCCTCGGACGTTTTCCCCTCTTTTCGGGGCTAGACAGAGCTGCGGGATTCTCAGCAGCCGGCCCCTGGGCGCGCGGCCAGAGCGGCTCCTGCCTGCGCGGCGGCCCCGCAGCTCCCGGTGTGCGTCCCCGCCTGGCCGCGCGGGTGCGCGTGTCGGGGCTGCAGGTCCGTCCCGCTGGCAGCCCGTGGGCTCGGCCCTCCCCTAACCAGCTCACTCTCTCCCACCCACACGCTCATAATAAGCACGGGGCACGTGGAAATCCGCAGCCAAAGCGCCTCGCCCCGTCGGGTGCTCAACGTGGTGATTTATAAACACATCAACCACTCCCCCAAAGAGCCCCTCCGTTCCTCGTTAGTCATGATGAATTCCCTGGTCCGCTCTACTTTGGTGTCTCGATCAGGATGCTCAGAAGCTCCCCTGGGGCACTGGTTCGGTCTCCTTCGCAAACCCATGGCCGCCGGCAGCACCGGCATGAGCTCTAAGAGGACACGAGGGGCCGAGGTGGGAAAGGGGGAAACTCGATCAAGTTCCTTGAGATCCCTTGGCCCTTCCCCAGCAGCAACCTGTGATTCCTTTCGAAGTCATAGGCGCCGCCATTGGCTTGGCCCTGCTTGGCAGTCCGATGCTTCCACCTGGGTCTGCGCCCAGGCCTCTCCTAGCGGACACACAGGCTCCCAAAGGCTGCAGACACCTGCCCGCCTGGCTGGCTAGGATAACGGGCTGCGCGCCGGGCTCGCGCCGAGTGGCTTGGCGCCGCCGGTGCACCGTCCCTCGGCCTCTCCGTGGAGTTCAGAACCGAAGACTAAGTAGGGAGAGCGCCTGAGAGTTTGACCAACCCCACCCACTGGCGTCCACAGAAGTTACTGGTTAGGAAAGCTCCTCTAGCTTTCAATCACACACTCTTCCTCCCCATCCAAGCCGCTAACGGGGAAGCGGCACCGAAAAGCGCCAGGAGTGCAGGGAGGGAAGCGCTCACGCAGCACCCGCGGCTCGGCTTCTCCGGGGCGGCCCTGGGTGCCTCCATCACCCCTGGAGGGAGGCTCAGCACCCATCGCCAGCGCTCCTGTGGCCTCGCACAAGGCGACGGTCTATGCGCAGACTCCCCGTTTGCGGAACTAAAAACGGTGCGCGCGCCCTAGTGTGGGAATCTGACATCGACTTTGAGAGTTTTGTTTTGCTTTCGGTCCGGCCGGCAGCGCTGCTGTCAAAGAGAGCGCCTGCAAACGGGAGTCTCTCGCAAGCTGATGCGCGGGCTGAGCCTGCCTCTGCAGGGAGGGGAGATGGGGGGCTCTGGTGCAGGGCAGGGAGACAACTGGACCTGGAACCTAAAAGGAGGAGAGCCGGCGCTAGCGTCTGGGTGGAGGGGGAAAGAGCTTTATCGAGGGCAAAAGTGTCCGCACCCCCTGGAGCAAGAAACACTCGTGCACTGAAATGCTAACCGTGTGGGGAAAGGAAGTCGGGCTTCTGACTGTAGGTTTAAGAGACGCTGGTATGTACACGTCCCAAGGTGAATAAAAATCAGACGCCTCCTGGCTCGGTGCAACTCTGCCTTTCTCTTCCTCCCTCCTTCTTCACCCCCTCGCGCCTCCCCCCCTCCCCGCCACCCCGCCGCCTCAGCCCTATAGGGAAAAGGAAAAGAAGGTGGACCAACACCCCCTATCCATCCACCCACCCAATTCTTCCAAGTGGTTGAGATCCATAGTGCGCAGGAGCCAGCCCCTGCCCCCAAACCCCGACCCCCTCCCGGCCAGTCGGCTGGGGGAGACAGATGGGGGGCGGGGCCCTCTGGAGATGGGCGGCGGAGGCCCCGGGGTGGAGAAGAAGGGGAGGTGAGATCTAAGAGAATCTGAATCAGTGGCGAGGGGGCACGAGAGGAGGGCTAGGAGGACTCCGCGCCTGGGAGGCGGGGGGTGGGGGTGGGGGCAAGGAGGAGGAGAGTAGCTCTGCGCCAATCAGCGGCGCCGGCCTGGGAGGTTGCTAGTGGTATCCACGTAAATCAAAGGGCGCGGAGCCAATGGGAGGGGGCGGAGGGGGCGGGGCCCCGGCGCGTGCCGCTGCAAGCGGGCGCTGCCAAGAGAGCGGGAGAGAGCTGGAGAGCACGGGGAGAGGGGGGCGCGCAGAGCCAGTCTGAGAGTGAGCGCAGCCAGAAGGAGGGAGAGGAGGAGAAAGAGCGAGGGCGGGCGAGAGGCAGTGGCGGCGGCGGCGGCGGCGGCAGCAGCAATAGCAGGAGCAGCCACAGAAGGCGTCGGAGCAGGCGTCGTCGAGCTGCCCGCTGGGGGAGAGGAGAGAGCGAGCGAGCGAGCGAGCCAGGGAAGAGAGAAGAGAGCCCGAGGCGAAAAAGTAACTGTCAAATGCGCGGCTCCTTTAACCTGAGCGCCCAGTCCGGCTCCGAGAGTCATGGCGACCGCAGCGTCTAACCACTACAGCCTGCTCACTTCCAGCGCCTCCATCGTGCACGCCGAGCCGCCGGGCGGCATGCAGCAGGGCGCCGGGGGCTACCGCGAGGCGCAGAGCCTGGTGCAGGGCGACTACGGCGCGCTGCAGAGCAACGGGCACCCGCTCAGCCACGCTCACCAGTGGATCGCCGCGCTGTCCCACGGCGGCGGCGGCGGGGGCGGCGGCGGGGGCGGCGGCGGCGGCGGCGGGGGCGGGGGCGGCGGCGACGGCTCCCCGTGGTCCACCAGCCCCTTGGGCCAGCCGGACATCAAGCCCTCGGTGGTGGTGCAGCAGGGCGGCCGCGGCGACGAGCTGCACGGGCCGGGCGCCCTGCAGCAGCAGCACCAGCAGCAGCAACAGCAGCAGCAACAGCAGCAGCAGCAGCAACAGCAGCAGCAGCAGCAGCAGCAGCAGCGGCCGCCGCATCTGGTGCACCACGCCGCCAACCACCACCCGGGGCCCGGGGCATGGCGGAGCGCGGCGGCCGCGGCGCACCTCCCGCCCTCCATGGGAGCGGCCAACGGCGGCTTGCTCTACTCGCAGCCCAGCTTCACCGTGAACGGCATGCTGGGCGCCGGCGGGCAGCCGGCGGGGCTGCACCACCACGGCCTGCGGGACGCGCACGAGGAGCCGCACCACGCGGACCACCACCCGCACCCGCACCCGCATCCGCACCAGCAGCCGCCGCCGCCGCCCCCGCAGGGCCCGCCGGGCCACCCGGGCGCCCACCACGACCCGCACTCGGACGAGGACACGCCGACCTCGGATGACCTGGAGCAGTTCGCCAAGCAGTTCAAGCAGCGGAGGATCAAACTGGGATTTACCCAAGCGGACGTGGGGCTGGCGCTGGGCACCCTGTACGGCAACGTGTTCTCGCAGACCACCATCTGCAGGTTCGAGGCCCTGCAGCTGAGCTTCAAGAACATGTGCAAGCTGAAGCCTTTGTTGAACAAGTGGTTGGAGGAGGCGGACTCGTCCTCGGGCAGCCCCACCAGCATAGACAAGATCGCGGCGCAGGGGCGCAAGAGGAAAAAGCGGACCTCCATCGAGGTGAGCGTCAAGGGGGCTCTGGAGAGCCATTTCCTCAAATGCCCCAAGCCCTCGGCCCAGGAGATCACCTCCCTCGCGGACAGCTTACAGCTGGAGAAGGAGGTGGTGAGAGTTTGGTTTTGTAACAGGAGACAGAAAGAGAAAAGGATGACCCCTCCCGGAGGGACTCTGCCGGGCGCCGAGGATGTGTACGGGGGGAGTAGGGACACGCCACCACACCACGGGGTGCAGACGCCCGTCCAGTGAACTCGAGCGGGGGAGGGGCAGAGCGCGGGGCTCTCCCTCCCCTCCGGCCCACCGCCCTTCCCCGGCCCCCTGTTCCCTCTCTAACTTCTGACTGTTCTTTTGTTTTTAATTATTATTTCCCCGTCCCTTAAGAGGAAAAATAATAATAATAATAATAATAAGGAAAGCAACTAAGGCACTGGGTTATCCAAACGGTAGCAGGTGTAATGATGTGTTTTGACCTTTACAGGCTAGTACCCAGGCAATGGAGTGGAGTGTCTCACAGAGTAGAAGAGAGAGAGAGAGAGAGAGAGAGAGAGAGAGAGAGAGAGAGAGAGAGAGAGAGAGAGAGAGGAGTGAGATAAATACCTGGCAAAACTAAATAATTACCAAAAAAAAAAAATCTACCAAGCCGTGATAAATACAAAACACAGCTTCCTAATGCCCGAGTTGGCACATGCTGCTGTGTTTATTTCATGTGGTTCCCCATCAGGAAAGAGGAAAAAATACACACGTTCTTTAGCGCAGGCAAAATATCACCACACAAATTTGCACTGCAAGAAAATTGAAGTTTACACGAACAAATTCACGAAGACATTTTTCTTTCTTCCACTGCTCATTTTGAAATTGCCGCGGTTTGTGGTCTGTGTTTTGTTTTGTTTATTCAGAGGAAAGAGTGGAAGCCAGCTCTTGGCCACTCTCCATTTCTAATGTCCCTATGTAGCCACTTGTTCTTATCATTTGTGAACTTTGGTTACCTTCAGATCCCCTCTCCTCTTTTCCATTGGTGTAACTTTTATTTTCTTCTTTTACCAAAGCAAAATGATTTGCTCCATACAAAATAAATAATTCTCTGCTTTCAGGAAATGTGCATGGTCTACCCTCTTTAACAAGGCAAAAATCCAGTTTGGAATACAGAAATGAGAGTCAAGCATTATTATTATTTTTTGGTTGGGTTTTTTTTTTTTGTTTTTTTTTTTGTTATCAGCCACAAAGTAAACTTCATTTTCAGGCAGTGTTTCCAGGGGAGGTTACAGAGGGGAGAAAAAGAAAAAAATGATAGTGAGTGACTGATTGCTTCATTTTACCTAGCGGGCCCATTGTGAAGGAACTCAGAGGAGATGTGGAGGTGAAGTATATTTTCAACAGAAAGAAAGTGGCACTTTGAAGAGAATGAGGGAAATATGTATCTCCAGACACCCCCCTGTATAGTTCTCTGCCTTCCGTTTTAATAACTTCATTTAGAAGGAATTATTTGTGCTGACAGTAGCAGTTAAACTTTGTTCCTTTAATAGCTTTAAAAAAAACATAAAGAAAATAACCTGGGAACTTCACGGTGTATGCCTCGACTGTATTTCTTAGCACACAAATACCCACATGCATACAGAGAATAACATTTCCGATCTAGACTGGTTTTGTTTTTACTAGCTCATTTGTATATCAAATTATATTTAAGTTCCCATACCTTCTTCTCCTGTAATTCATTACAGAAAATACCAGTCTCACTTGGACAGCTCCACCCACCCCCTCTCTTACTAAAGAAGCCAAATGAAGAAGGGAAAAAATGCTATTTTGAATCCTTCCCTTTCTCTCTTTGTTAATAGTTTCAAGTGCATTTTTTACCTTATCTTGATGGAAAACGGATAACTCCCATAACAAAAGAATCTACTGGGAAGTGGAGGTGAAAACAACAACAACAACAACAAAAACTGTAATTGTATTGAAAATAAATGCCATTAAACTGTGATCAGTTAAAATATTTCAAAGTAATCAGCACAAAAGGGCGCTAAAAGGGAAAACACTTTTTTTTTTATTAATCTTAAAAGATCGGGGCTTTTTTTCTGGTTAGGTATTAGGTAAATTTTTTTATTTAAAAAATGAAATCTCAATACCATACAATTATGGTTCAGCATCAGATTAGCATTGCACTCAGTAGTTAAGGTTTTAGGAAATATGCTTTATCGTGTCTTTTCAAACACCAGTGATGGTTTCATTTTCAATGTTTTTTGCAAGATAAATGATGACTTATAATGGGCATATTTACTTGCCTGTATTTCATTTCCCCCAATGACTGTCACAAGGAGATGGGCATGGAGCTGCTTGGGGTGCATCACACTGCCTGTCCCTGAGGTGTGGGGACCGGCCTCTCGTGAAGCAATCCGGAGCAGGGCAAACAGCCAAGGGTAAAGGGAGGAAATGAATTTCCAGATTCTTATTACCAAGTGGGGAAGGTTAGAAGCTGGGGTTCAGGGGATGTGTCTACAGCTCCCCCAACTCTCAGAGGTTTACTAAGATGAAAGTTACCACTGAACCTTCCCACTATGTATATATGTTTAATATCTGTCTTTTGAAATGCAGAAATAGTTTAAATGTTTCTTTGTCTATTTTTCTTTTTTTTTTTTTTTAATGCTACCCAGGGAAATATTTTCATATCATTTTTAAGTGGCCTGCCTCAATGTATATTTATTTCTTTTAAAGCAAAAAAGGTTCTGGAAAACTGTTTTTTCTGTAGCTTTAAATGAGTAGGTGAGCAAAATCTATATGAGATGTAATTTTTTTGTTCAGTCTCTTTAAAAATACTTTGTTTGGGTACATTTGGTTGTGCTTGTGGGGAAAATAAAAACGCAGAGATCCTTATATATTTATGTTAAAGTAATATTTTATTATCTACATAAAACAGAAATGCACAATACCTTTCATAGTTTGTTCTAATTATTGAAATATCTTTATTTTATTTTTAAAAATAGTGCCAAGTTTTGAGGGGGAAAAAACCCTAGACCTTATACTGACTGAGTTGAGTTGTATGTAAGACACTTCCCTTCCTTTATACTTCATAAAGTTTTGGAATAAATTTTATGCATATACTGCCAGGTTTCACATTAATAACTTTCAGAGGCTTTTTTTTTTTTTATTAAGTGAGACTACTGTTCTCATTCACTTTTCTTTGCAAACCACCTTCCTCCCTCCCCCTCCCCCCCATCAATCCCAAACCATTCAGCTACTATGCCTATAGCATTCAATTGAAATGGTCATTGGGTTTGAGCTTCAATTTGCTTGCCATTTCATGGTCTGACAAAGAGATGTTTGTCCCCTTTAAATAAATGCAGATCTTCTTTCCAGGTAGCTTTCCCTGATCTGATTTTAGTTTTTTTGGAGAATATCAGTGAAATTAGGTGTACTTTCATCTTTACCCACCATGCCCTCACATAATTTGGATCTACAGAAAAAACGAGGCTGAGTTAAAGAAATTATTCTTCTTAGTGATTTTCAAATACCTTTCAAAAAACAACTCTGGTTGTACGCAATATGTTTGTTTACCAAGTGATAGAGGCAGGTCCTGTGTATTATTCCTGTTAGGTTTACAGAGAAAAAGATGGATTTTGCGATGGTTTTTACAATAGTGTCTATTTCTCATTAGACAAACAAACAGCCTCTAAAACAAGGAAAGAAGGTAGGGAACACTCAAGACTGCGGTGCTAAGAATGGATTGTTTCAGATGCACATTACACTTACCCAAATCAGTTGGAAGGTTAGTGAGAGACCCAAGCAGTGCTGGGTTAGTTTACAAGTTTGCTGATGACCTCCTTGGAACGTTGGTTTTAGTGTAAATGTCCATTTTGAAAGGTAGTTTCTGGGCTTATTACGTCTGATCATCTTTTCTAACTCCTAGTCAATATTACACAAGTCCCAAACTGATTCAGCCAAATGATCTTATCAATAGCCTGAACGCGAAGTGACAGAAAGAAGAAGTGTTTTGTGACCGCAGACATGCTGATGGGTAAAATGTTTAAGCTGGGTATGGATTTGAGTTCGGGGTCAATATCCTCCTCCATTGTAGGCAGAAAACAAGCAGCATCTGCCCTCTGCAGGGCATTTCAGTGGACCTTGTGAAGGCGTTTTTTGTTCTTAGCCACAGGGGCTACTGACTGGAAACCATCACGTGTTAAACGGACGCGCCATGGTTTTGACCCATGCATGCCGCTCAGATTCTAAGCTATTCAAGCCCTTTCCATGCCGTCTGGGGGAGTGTATCCCAGGCGAAGGTGAAAAACTCCATCCCTGCCTCTGGGAGAAATTTGTGGGGCAGTCACCCTTTAAATGTTGGCTAGACACAATGATAAACCCCTTCTTTTCCCTAAAGACAATATTGCAGAAGACAGCCATCCTGAAAGCGTTCTCGTGTTTCCTCAGAATCTGTCCCTTTTTAAATGTACAGGGTGAGATGAGGGAGAAAGGATCCTTCGGGAGTTCTGTGAAGGTCAGATGGAGGGAATGGTCACTAATACATTGTGCTCGGCACTTCTAAACCTTCTCGGTTCCCACGAACTTACCTCCTCTATATTCCAGATGCAGCAACAAAAGGACTCCTCTCCTTGCCCTCCTGCTCCTACCAGTGGGAGCCACACACTGGTTGGCAGTTATTTTTCTGGCGAAATGGCTTTCATAAAGGCACCCATCTTCCTACTTGTTTCTCCAAAAACAATTAATAAAGAGATGCATCAGCAACAATGAGAGGGGTGGGGGGGGGCGTGTGAGTGCACAGGTACCTGCACATGTAGGGTCTACCTTGCATCCATTTGCCTTTGATTTGCCTCGCTTATGAAAACAGCCCCGGAGTGCTGGGCTGCTGGGAGAGAGAAATTATCTTTTGATCATTGGCCTTTGTGATTTGTCTTTGTTGGTTTTTCATTCAGTCTATAGGACTCTGTGCTAGATTCTATCAAATTCCTAGGCAAGTTAAAGAATGGAGTTTGTACCGAAAAAGATGGAAGGATGGTAAAGGGAAGGTCAAAGGTAAAAGTGTTTCTTTGGATCTGCTTGTTTATTTCAGCGAGGCAAAGGAGACCAGGTCCATTTGAAATGAAAGTAAAAAGATGCATTTGAAATAGTAGGGATGAATCTTGACCATAAAACTAAATGAGATGTACAGCTGAATTGCACACATTTTCTCTATCCAGTAAAGTTTACTTTTTCAGTGATACATAGTCTATTAACAGGGGGCAGCGGGTGCTGGGAGAGAA